TAGATTTTAGACTCCATTCACTATTTCTCTAATGCCTGCATTTGCCAAGAATGATAGAGTAAATGGCCTAAATTATTTAATGGTAGTGGAACTATGTTCCAGATTCCTATAATAAAGAAGTAATGTGCAAAGAATAATTTTACTTCCTTTTGAAAACCTAGATTTCTCTATTATAGAAACCAAAATAATGTAATTGGTCTTATTTCTCCTTTAGGTGTGGGCCGTTAGGGAGCTCAAAGTCAAGGGAAATTCAAACATTGTATAGAATCCTATAGCCTGCATATCTATATCCATTTTTTTCTCTCAAATAGCTATGAAAGACACTTCTCCATTTATTCTAAGGATATTCATATAACAGAGGTAAAACACCTTAAAATGGTTTCAAGATGGCTGAGTGATAAAACTAAACAACTGATCTACTAAAACCCATGTCTTTAAAAAAATAATAATAAACAATAAAACTGCTGATATCAGGCCAGGTTTCATTTCCTTGCCTTTCTATCTGCCAGCTCTAAACCCTCGAATAAGTTATTTAACCCTTCTCAGTCTCAGTTTCACCCATGAAGACAATAATGATAATCACACAGAGTTGTTGTATGGACAGAGATAGCATGTGAAGAAACTGAGGCAGAGAGTACGGTCTGGCCATGAAGCTCATTTATCTAGAACTGAAATACTGAAAGTTCAAGCCTTTGTTGCAGCTAGACATGCCTATGTGACTCGGTCCTAACTAATGACATATCAGCAGGATCCTGAACCCAAACTGGAAGGTTCCTTGGCCATCGGCTAAGGATGTTTGAGTAGAAAGGCAATATCCTAGGAGCTTGATGGCACTGTGTAGCATCATCCAACCCTGAACTACCCACCTCCTAATTCATTATTGCTTGAGATACATAAGCATGTATTTGGTTAACCGCTTGCATCAGGTTTCTGTTATAAAGCAACTAAATGCCAGCCTGTCAACACAATCCTAACTAGCAAATGATTAGCAAAAATCTATGCCTACCAACCATTAGTCCTCTTAGTTTCCTTGTAGTCGAAAAGGTATGTGTTTTGGAAAACGATTACAATAATATTGATAAGTAAAAAGCTACCAAATGCTGTAGATTATACAGTATGATCCAAATTTTGTTAGGAAAAAGAATAATTGATATCCAGAGATATCCAGGAACTGAGAGGATTCTATTAAGCACATTATTGTGAAGGGGAAAAAAAACATGTATTTTCATATAACAAAGCCATTTTGACAAAATTATTTCAAAATGCCCTTCTAGGTTTTTCATGGGCCAAGAAGACTGTGGGTCCAGGCCAAGTGGAACATGTCAAAGAGCTTAGGGCAACAAGAGGAGCTAGAAATGAGTGTCCATTTGGGGTACATTAGTGACGTTTTGTGATTTCTTACATATGACCTTGGGTGGCTAGTCTGAGGAAAAGTGACTAATCTAGTTTATCATTTTCATCACATGACTATTCAGAGCAATGTAATAGAATGATGAGCCAATGTGTTTTTATTACACCAAAAGGAAATATTTTTCAGATTACATCAGCACAGTTATGTGCTGCTACTAACATTCCTACTACTTTGTCACTCATTTCCAAGGAAATTTATGCTCTTTCTGAACATAAATGTGTTTTAGGCCCAAATACCATTTATTTGGTAATATCTATAAACATGGGACCAGGCAGGCTTAAAAGGGACAGTTCTTGGTAAATCAGGAAGGAGTACATCCCAACACAGGGGATGGGAGGATTCTCAAAGTGGAAATACTGACCATCCTACTGTCCCCTCCGAACACACACACACACACACACACACACACACACACACACACTGAATATTATAGAAAACCTATGTGAGGGTCAAAATTTGGCTCTTCGTGAGTAATAATATTTAACCAATATTTTGCCAAAATACATTTATAGAGACACAGAGAACAGCTGCATCAAAATGTCCTATTTGGTCTCATATAGCTCAGGCAAGGGCACTGCAGTGATCCAGCCCAGGTAGGTCATAGACAGAGTTCCCTTGGCAAACATGAGCAGCTGAAAATTGAGTGGGAAGTGCTGTACTAGGCACAAAAATAAAAAAAACTGTTCTTTTTCCTTTAAGAAAACTATAATATGTAGATATATAGTTACATATAGATATATAGACTTTAAGAAAACTATAATATGTAGATATATAGTTACATAGATAACTGCATATGAGGTGGAGTTGAGTAAATTTGCTAATAATGCTATGAGAAGTCATGAGAGATCTAAATAAGAAATATTGTAATTAAGGAGATTCAATATGGCATCTCAAAGTGCTCAGCATTTCAATAGGACCCTCCTGGACCCTTCAGCCCTGACTCAGAACTTTAAAACACACAGAGCATCTTGTATTGCATCTTGGCAACAACAACAATAACAAAAACAGTGGATAAAAGTCAGCAAAGGAATAAAAACAATAATGATGGCTAACATATATTGAGAATTTAAGAGAAAAGTGTAACATATAATTAAAATAAAATTATACATTTGAGTTAGAGAATGAGTGATTTGGCATTATTTTTGCTGAAACTCAGGAAAAGGAGGGATGCTTTGTTCAACTGACAACACTGAGCCTAGCTCGCTCATCTGCATTTCTGCCTAATCAGCACACATGACTTTCATCCAACAGGGAACACGAATGAAGCACATCAATTACTGGCAATTTAGCTTCCTGATAACGAACTCGAAATAGTTCACTAAGAAATAATAATGTTGATGCAAACTGATTTTCCAGGATTTTGATAAATTAAGAGTCATTTCATAATCTCAACAGAAAAATAACACATAACTTTTTAAAAAATCTATTCAAATTGGTTCAACCATTTGTAATGACTGTGCACACACACAATGATGTAATGACTTCTGCTTCCCAAGAAAAAGGCATTTTTTTTCCTTTATTATTGGTCTTGGTCTTGGAACTAGCACAAAGAGGCACAGAATTCTGTGCTTGCCCTTTAAAAAGGAAATGTTTCCTGCTCTCCTCCTTCTGCAACTGACAGATAAGATGGGAAGCTAGTTTGTATTTCTTTAATCATCTCTTTTCTTCAAATCTGTTTTCTAGCACAAAGTTTGAAGTCAGTTGGTATGACTAAAAGCCCTCATGTATAAAAAGCCTATTTTGGATTTCTTTTTAAATGTTTCTATTTGATGAGCTGTTAAAGGCAGTTGCTTACTTATCTCTTCATTTCATAGCGAGTTGATATCAGGCTTTGTGCAAAAAGGATACTGTAGATTGGCCGCTCACCTTCTAGTCTACATTTTTTCTAGCTCCCTGCTGAAGCTTGCTTTAAAAACTGCCTCTCCTGGACTTCTTAGCAACTATTGTTCCAGATGCAAATTAATCTTACCCACTAGATTCACTCGAGAGAGATTTGAAAGGAGGAAGTGAGTTGGAACCCATCTCCCTGGCCCTGTTTCTACTGGAGGTAGTTGTGGTCATGCTAATGGCAATGGCAGCTGGGGCTTTCTAATCCCTAAACCACAATTATGGCAGTAGGTTCTTGAACTAAGTAATTCCAGGAGCCACCTCTTGACTCCCACTTCTCCTTTCTCCTAATGATTTTTTTAAGTGCCTAATTTCTGATATGAAATATCTTTCTGCTGAAACCCTGACTAATATATTTTTTATTCCTCCATCTGAAGAGGCAATATATGAACCAGAACAATATTAATACCTAATATATACATAGTGCTTTGTAGTTTATAAAGTACCTGGACATGCATTATCTACATTAATCCAGACCATAACTCTGAGAGGTGGCAGGACAGATGCTGCTCTCCCCATTGCACAGATGAGAAAGCTGAGTCTCAGAAGAATTAGGTGACTTAGTAAGGCATTTACTAGGTAAGAGATGTAGATAAAATTCAATTCCACATTTTATGACTCTTAATCATTTCCTTTGATGCTAGAAAGTCTCCCAAGGGCAAACAAAGAAGAGAGGGTAAGCACAAGAATCTTGACAATGACCAAATCTTCTATTTCTTATTAAAAAATAAAAGTAATTTATCATTATATTCTAAAAACAATAAATTAGATTAAAACACTTAAGGACAAGCTAGTAAATATGGGCTATTTCATAGAAAGTGTGACCTTGGATCTGGGAGAGCCTGTGCCTCAACTTTACAGGATCTTTCCTTTGAAGACTCTTTGCAATTAATACAAATACATGAAAGGTTCAGTCCTGTTTTCCAGCTCTGACCATGAATTCTCTTTCTGCACAACCATCTGGCCAAACCAAGAGTGGCTAGAAGACTTGGGGAGGCCAAGATTCATTTCTCGATTTCTCTCTAATAGCAATTTCACCTAAGAACCACTCCCCTCCCCAGCTAGGGCTCCCTAGAATGAAATGTTTTTTCTTTTTTCCTAACTTGCTGCATAGACATAATTTAGTAGAATATTTGATTTCAATGCTCAAGAAACCAAGAAAACATTAAATAGGCAAAGTTTGTTTTAGACCACTTCGAAAATAGTCAAATTCTTTCTCTCCATATGTACCATAGCAGTAATCCAACTGCAGGGTGAAGAAGGTTCGAGAGCTCTAAGAGGCAAACTTCTGACCATACGGTGCCCGCTCCCTGAGAGTAACAATAGCCCAAAGACAACATTCCAGTATTGCAAATCTTCAAGATCATTTCACAGCCAACCTCAAAACACTAGAATTCCACAATCCCCTGTCCTTACTTCCTTCTCTGCTTGCTTCCTTCAGTCTCATATGACTCAAATCAGGGCTAAGAAAACTGTAACTCTATAGCATCCTACTTCGGCCCTTGCATCAAAATAGTATGTGATTCCTTCACCAAAAAAATGACAACTATAAAGAAAAACATTTAAAATTAAGAAGAGAAGGAAGAAGGTGAAAAGAAGTAGATCCAATTAGTTAGGCAAACTCAATTACACCTTTCCTATAAAACTATAAAATCAAGACATGTAAGAAACAATATTAAAAGGCAATAAACTCTATACTAACCTGAGGGAAGAGGGAATAGGTTGAATTGTCAATGGTGAATGAGTATAAAAACTCTCCATCATACCACATGCTCTTCCCCATGGGGGAATTCATTTTAGTCATAGCAAAGAGATGGGCGGGGTCACAGCAGTCTTCCATCTGTTTCCTAGGAGAGAAAATAGAGAGAGAAAAGAACAGCAGGTTAAGTGAGCAGTAGACTCATTCACTTGTCATTCCCACAGAGATGTGCAGCCTTACCTCAGAGCCAGCTCACAAAAGCATCTGTGTCTCCAGGGTGATTAGACTACTATTAATTCACTCTTCCAGCTATCAAGATGCATGACTGGAATTTTTCATAATTAAAAAAAAAAGTTTAAGAAAAATACATCAGCTCTCAGTTGCAGCTGAAATATGTCCAAAGGTAAAAATAATTATTATAATTGCAGAATTACTGGTTGATTTAAACATCCAGGTCCAAAAAAGACTGGGGTGGCTTACTTTGGAGACTGTTGAGCTATTCAGCTATAACAGAAATGTATCTTTACAGTGATTTAACAATCAGGTAGTTAAGTTCAATGACAAAGGACTTTACATGAGCTGTATGAAATAGAGAATGAACCCAGTGCACTCAAAGACGGTGCACTCCCAAAATTGGGGACAAGATTAAAGAACAGCCCCTAAGAAACCCTTTTAAATAGAAATAAAATGAGATGAGTTATATCATTTCAGACACTGGTAAGCAACCTGCCTTCTAACTGGTAAATCTCATAGGTCTTTTACGTTATTATTTTAATTGAACTCTCAGTAGCATTTGACACAGTTGAATACCACGACCTTTGCAAAACTCTCCTCGCTCCCTTAGTTTCTGGAAAACCAGGGTTTGCTGAATCACCTTACTCTTCTAGGCCGGCTGCTTCTCTACTTGTCCCTCAAATGGAAGCCCTGCTACCATTCTACAGGCCATTTTCATATTCTCCTCTAACTAAAAGCCTGTCAGGAACCGAGTGGAACAGAATTGAGAGACCAGAAATAAATCCAAGCACACACAGTCAACTAATATTTAACAACAAGGGAGCCAAACCTCAATAGAGAAAAGATAGTCTGATGGTGCTGAGATAACTAAATACTCACATGTAAAAGAATTAAACTGGATCCATATCTTACCCCACTCACAAAAATTAACTCAAAATAGATTAAAGATTTAAATGTAAGACCTGAAACCATAAAACTCCTAGAAGAAAACAAGAATAAAGCTCCTTTACATGGGTCTTGGTAATGATTTTTTGGATATGACACCTAAAGTACAAGAAACAAAAACAAAAATAAACAGGTGGGATTACATCAAACTAAAAGCTTCTGCGCAGCAAAGAAACAATCAACAAAGAGAAAGACAATCTACAGAATGGGGGGAAAATATTTGCAAGTCATATATCTGATAAAGGGCTAATATCCAAATTATATAAAGAACTCATACAACTCAATAGCAAACAAACAAACAAACGAATAACCCAATTTTAAAAAATGAGCAATGAACTCGAATAAACATTTCTCCAAAGAAGATATACAAAAGGCCACCAGATACGTGAAAAGATGCTGAATTCACTAGTCATTAGGGAAATGCAAATTAAAACCACAATGAGCTACCACCTCACACCTATCAGAGTGGCCATCAACAAAAAGACAGATAACAAATGCTGGAGTGGATGTGGAGAAAAGGGAAGCCTTGTGCACTGTTAGTAGTATTGTAACTTGGTATAGCCACTAGAAAACACAGTATGGAGGTTTCTCAAAAAATAAAAGTAGAACTACCTTTATAATCAGTAATCTCACTTCTGGGAATATAGTCAAAAGGAAATGAAAACACTAACTTGGAAAGATATTTATACCACTATGTTCACAGAAGCATTATTTATAATAGCCAATACATGGAAAAAACTTGTGTTCATGAATGGATGAATAAAATTGTGATAGATAGATAGATAGATAGATAGATAGATAGATAGATAGATAGATAGATAGATAGATAGATCACACACACACGTAGATAGATATAGAGAGAGATATATAGATACAGATAGACACACACACACAATAGAACATTAATCAGCCATAAAAAAAAAAAAACAAGGATATCCTACCATTTGTGACACATGGATGGACTTTGAAGGCATTATGTTAAGTGAAATAAGTCAGACAGAGAAAAAAATACTGTATTATCTCACTTATAGGTGAAATTAAAAAAAATAAAATAAAACTCATAGAAAGAGATCAAACTTGTGGTTACCAGAGGTGGGAAGAGGGAGGAGAGGGAATAGGAGGAAGGTAGTGAAAAGTACAGACTTCCAGTTGTAAGATAAGTAAATACCAAGGATGTAAAGTACAACCTGATGACTATAGCTAATACTGCTGTATGATATATAGGAAATTTAAGAGAGTAAATCCTATGAGTTCTCATCATATGGCAAAATATTTTTCCTTTTCCTTTTATTTTTAGTGTATCTACAGGAGAAGATGGATGTTAGCTGACCCTATCATGGTAATCATTTCATAATATATGTAAATCAAACCATCATGCTGTATACCTTCAGCTTATGCAGTGAGATATATATATATATATAATTATATATATATAATTTCTCAATAAAACTGGGGAACAAAACATTCTTTGGGTCTCCTGACCACTGTGGACCCTGAAATCCAGACCCCTTTATCATAGCCCCTTGTCTCCATCATAAAACTTTACTTAAGTAAATTAGACAAGGCCACATGGCGGAATTGGATTTGTATGATTTTGGAGTTGGATTTTGGAGGGTCTGTGGATGCTGCCAGAGAAGGTTGGTGGTGAAGGTAGATTATATTTCTTTCACCGGAAGTAAAAGCCACATGTACACAGCCCTACATGATCCTCCCATACACACACACACACACACACACACACACACACACACACACACACTCGCACATGTTCTCTTTACTCCAGCTTTACTGGTTTTCTCCATGACTTTTCAGGCATTTGCACCTGTTTGCTCTACCTGAATGCTCTTCTCCCAGATATCCTTGCGACTTGTTTCCTTACCTCCTTCTGGTCTTTCCTCAAATGTCACTTATCCAATGCATTCTTAGCTCCCTATTGAAAAACGTACCTCCTCCTTACCCACATACTTTGGTTATCTTATTTGTCCTGCTTCTCCATTAGAATTTAAAAGGGCAAGGTATTTCCTTTCCCACCCCTCATCACTAGTGTGCTGGGCACATAGAATGTGCTCAATAAATATTTCTTGAGCAAATCAAATGAGTGCTATCCAAAGGAGCCCAGTCACTCACAGGGAATAAATCCAACTCCAGAATCATACGAAGACATTTTAAAGAAGTTGTAATGGAGGTCACCACATGGCAGAAATGTCATAAAATCTCTCAGTGGATATCTGTCTCTCCCCTGGACACAGTTCTGTCATCTCTTCTAACCACCTGCAAGCTTGCCCTCTCTCCATCACATTGCTCACTTATCAGAGCAATTTTACTCTATAAGGTTCTCTATTTTTTACTCCCCTAATAATCACTTAAAATTATGCTTAAGCATGAGAAAAACCATTATACAAACTATTTTTGGATTTTTCCTTCTTTTGGAGAATGGAGGGATTTGAAAGACAAAGAAAAACTTCCAGTTATATATGTTTAATCGTTATGAATAAAATTACTTCTCTCTTGGTCTATTCACAGGATCACAATAAAAGAGCTAAATGGATATATACCAAATTTGTATAGGATATTTTCAGTGGTCTGAAACTAAAACACAGGTTTGGAAGAATGCAACTAATTCACTTTTGGAGCCTTGGGTAGGAGCACAGGGAGGGGGCAGGTGCATCCACTCAAAGAAATAGTTGGGTAGCCATCTGTGGGACCATGAGGTTCTGAAAATGAGGTCTGGACCAGAAGCACCAGTCCACACATAAACCTCCATACTCCACTGAATTTTGAACTTGTGCCCAAATGGCAAATACTCCAAATTATAAATTACATTGATGTAAAAGTGAGCTGTTTCTCCAATGCATAAATTTACACAGCAGAGAGGAATACAGCGGGATTTTTTTTTACGTTATGAGCAGCGGTGCTCCTAGGAGGCTGGACATTATGTATTAAATCTAGAACTCTATTCAGAAACATCTTTTCTTTTCTTGATCTAATGACATCTAGATCTGAGATTATTCTGTGAAAGATGAGCAGAATTTAATGGAAGGAAAGCAAATGAAAAGGAGACAAAAATTGTAGAAATTGCATTATGAGATTTTCAAATTATACAGATTTTTCTAAACTAGGGAACTAAACCAACAAACATTGTTTTAAGATGAGCAGTGGAGTGGTAAATTTTAGAAAGTGAAGTCTAGGAGTTAAGCTCCTCAGATTCACCTCAGCTCCACTGCCTACCAGATAGATGCAGGACTGGAGCATTTGTTCTAAAATTTTTCCACACTATAATTGTCTCTTCCATGATTTATGGCACACACCTTTAGTATTTCTATAACTGTTCCAGTATTTGAACAGATTCAAAAATTATTTTCTGAGAAAAATTCTGGCTTTCTGTTATGACCCATTTCCACAAGATGGAACTCTGTGCAATAACACAAGCCAGGGATTCTCAGTTTTCTTAACAGAATATTTACTGTGCCACCTGCTTGTCTAAAACATATGGGGTGCTCTTTACTCAGCACAGAATATCAGCATTTCAGATTGTCAACAACCTTTAATTGACTGTAATCTAGTTCCCATTAAATGTGTGATTAAAGGAATAGATGTTTGAGAGAGGCAAAGGGATATGGTAGATAATTTTTCTCCTCGGAGTCTTTATATTCTTTCTCTTATCAAGTCGAATCATGAGCAGGTCAGCTATTTGCATTAAATAAAGTAATTCTTTTTAAACATCCTCTTTTAAACTTTTATAGATGTGAATAGAGCTGTTTTTTGGGTCAAACGTGCCAACACAGTTTACCACCAACATATCATGAAAACAATCAGGTAGACATTTCATCTCAACCACTCATCATCCCTCACCTTATTGCTATGTTCGCTACATTTGTACTTAATCTTGAATTGGTTTCTGAATATCACTGATCCCCACAGTGATAGAAAAATGCAGAGGTATTGAGAGAGTTGACAGCAACAGTTAAA